CCCATGATGCCGTTTTAGCCGCAGACAAACGGCATATGCCCAGACTGTGATTCTTCTGCTAACCCAGAGGTTCCCAAACTGTGGGGCGCGCCCCCTAGGGGGGGGCGCCGTGTCATTGCAGGGGGGCGCGGGAAGCCGTCTGGATGAAAAAAAAACAAAAAAAAAAAAAAACATGAACACTGTATGCGCTGGGTTTTTACCTTAGAATGGCCAACTCTCTGTTATTCCTGTCAATTTGATACAGTAGATTCTTCCACACTTCCCATATTTGTGTCCTCTGTCACTTTTATCAGCAGTTAAAACAGTTTAGTCCGTTGTTAACATGTTGTAACCTGTTTTTCCGAGCCGCCTTTAAACGCAACATGAGCGCTACGACGCTCGCGCTGGAGGAGACCTGCTGCTGGGCGGAGCTACGTAGGTTTGTGTTAGAATCACGGCAGCAAACCAGCAAAACGCAAAGAGCTTTTCACAGTTTTTCCCTCCAAACTAACAGACTGAGTTGAGTAAAGCTGCTGGATGCAGGTAATGTTAGCTAAAAGATGACTAGCTAATCAACACAGAACCTTAAGCCTAACAAGTACCTTGTAGGCTACCGATGTTGGTGTCTATTTTCAGCTACGTACATTCATTTTGCCCCCAAAGAAGTCACACGCGTCGTTTCAACCAGACAGCCATTTGTAATCCATAGGGGGGACCCAGAAAATGTTTGGAAACCACTGGGGGGGCGCAGAAGAAAAAGTTTGGGAACCACTGGTTTAAATAATTGAGTCGGATTTATTTGTCATTTGTATCGTTACTGCGTTTGTACATTTTGTGTTATGAATACATATCTCTCTGATAAATGGAAATATAAAATTACTACTTCATTCTCCTATTATTACAATTTTGTTCTCATTATTTTTTTCTTACTATTTTCGTATTATTTTCAGAAAATGACGATTCTCGTGTTTAACTATTGTGGTGCAGCTTTATTCTCGCAATATTATGACTATTCTCGTATTTCAACTGTTGCACAACTGTATTCTCATATTATTTTCACTGTATCCTTGTATTATTATGACTTTACTCTCAAAATGAAAGAAAACATGAGGACCAGTTGTCAGTTTTACCCTTTTTCTCTGGTATCGGGCAGCGGTCTGTCCAGAGGAAGGCGATCGCTCAGGAAAACGTTGTATCCATACTTCTCAAAAAGTGCCTGGGCTTCTTTTTGCTCGTCCTCGGACAGATTCTCCCCCCAGTCCTTGAAGAGGGGCGAGCTGGGGAACAGTTTGTTGGACTTTTTCTGCGGGGCGGCAGCGTCTTGGTGCTGCTGCAGCTGCTCCTTCTGGCCCGCCCCGATCTGCAGGGCCTGCTGCAGGACGTCTGCAACCTTCCTCTGAGAGTCTCGGTCCTCCTCCAGGATCTTCTGCATCACATCCTGTCTGCGCTCAAATCCTCTCAGGATCTTGGCTGGAAAAAGAGTAGAAATCCACAAGGTAAAAACACACATCTTTCAACATGTACCTCATCTCATCTGTTTAAATTAAAGTTATAAAGAAATTTTTGTAACATAAGGGAAACGAATAAGAAATGATGCGAAATAAGACAGAACACAATTCTATTTCAAATTCTTCCTCTTCTGTTTTATGTAAAATATACTCATTTAAATTTATAACAAATGAGGCCAAGCAGGAAATGATTTCCATCCTTCCAGAACAATATATTCATTTAAAATTGCACAATAACTCGCTTTATATGGAGAAAAAACATTTAACAGTGGTGTTTTATTCTTCCTCAAAGTTTCATTGACAGAAGCTCATAAAGTCAATCTAAAATTTTACATGTACAGCACTTTACAACAGTACTGAAACATTATTGCAGTAATAAAAAATAGACTAATAAAAAAATACATTCATTAGCTGCTCTAAACAAATGCATTTTTAGCTTTTTGAAACAAAAATCAACCATTAACCTGTTAGCGGTCTGCAAACCAAAAGGTAATGAATTCCACAGCTTGGGGACGTCCAGACTGGGCTTAAAAGTTTAAAATCTACTCTTAAACATACTGGGAACCAGTGAAGTGAATAAAATACAGGAGTGGTAAGAATCCAGGTTTATAGCAACACAAAGGTAATTACAATATTCCTTATGATGGAAGGTCGTAAAGACTTTTCAAGGTCCTTTTTGACTTTACTTGAAGTTCAGCCAAAAATTGGAGCTGGAAAAAATCGGCTCTTACAGCAACAAACCTTTTTCCCAAATTCATCGCCACAAACTGCAAGGAGCCAAAGAAACAAAAGTATGTATTTAATGGAAAAATAAATAAAATGAGTCCACAGAACTTTACCAAAGTCCAACCTTCCTCGCTCGTCACGGCGGCACCCTTATCCTTCCACCCTTGGTTGTTTCTCATCCTCTTCACTTTAACCTCCTGATACCAGGAAAAAAATATTGTCCAATCACCTTTTTTTTTTTAATCCCACATTCTTTGTAAGGTAATAAAAGGTTTTGTCCTCATGCAGGGAGACTGGCAAAAATGCTAAAGTGTCGTTAAAAATGATCCTCGTTTAATGGCTGAAAGTTTTACTTGTAGTTTGCTTTAAAACAGACTTTTTGCATGAAATGTTTTCTAATATGTAGTAACAGATACTTCTGAAGTTGTAGCCAAATGAGTTGAAGTGATTTAACTATATACTTTTGAAACAACTTACGTATGTTTTTGTTACTTTTGTAAATGAAATCTGCTGGCTCTATATATGCATCATGTAGAAATAAAAGAAACTTTAAATTCATATGGTTTTTAATCCTGTTTTTATATAGTGAAATTTTAAATAAATCTTTTTTTTTAACCCAACTATAGTGGTATAATAACCCTTGTGTTGGGTTATGAGTTTCAACCCAATTTTGGGTCAATTTAACCAAGTCAATTTAACCCAACCTTTGGTTAGTTGCCATAACCCAATGTGCTGGCTCAAACCGTCAACCCAACCCAGCTGAGTTAAAACAGCCCGTTGGGTCGGTCCATATTTGACCCAGCGCTGGGTTACGAATTGGGTTGTTCGTAACCCAATTTGAACAACCGTATCAGCTGATACGGTTTATCAGCTGTAAAGGGCTGATAAACTTTACAACCCTTTTTCTGAACCGTCAGAAAATGGGTTGTAAAGTTTATCACTGTTAAGTTGCAGACAAGGACAGAGTCAGCTGAGGTTGTGGAGTTGTAAAGGACAGGATAACGGTAGGCGGAGTGAGGATGAGGAGGAGGAAGGTTGGCACCTGGTCTTTCTTTAAGATATTAACCTCTTAAGATCAACTGAAAACAGGTCAATTATTCAATTCACTTTATTATGTAATTGATTCATGTCTATATAAATATTCTTTTTGGTTCCACAATATTTGATAGATTTTTCCAAGCTGCTTATGTAACAGAGAGAAAAGTGTGTATGTATGTGTATGTGAATTTTACCAATAATAATAATATCTGTAATGAGATTTTTAATCGATGCATGTTTAGAACCACCTAGTGGTGTGATGAGAAACTGCATGTAACGTGTCCTTCAGGCGCTCTCACGGCTTCCCCACCAGATTCCTGAGAAACGCTGGTGGAGTGAACCCACCAGCATATGGGGCCACTGCGTGCAGCTGGAAGTCACATTGCGAAGAGCGATTTATTCTGTGTCTTATCCTCCTGACTACCAGTAGTTCATTTTTGTCCTTTGTGGAGGACATTTCTAAACAGGCACGTGCAGAGGGGGGACCTGGGGGTGCTTGAGCACCTGCCCTTTTTGCTCCTTGCCCCAAAGTGCCCTTTTGGTCAATTTTTTTTTTTTTTTTTTTTTTGCATTATTATTTTCAAAGCCCTCTTCAGACACATAACAACATGTACTACAATTATTTTATTTTATTTTTTTTGTACAACATAATAAGCCTTCCGGTCACCTTGTTACCTTTGACCTTTTGCCCGTGACACATGACGCAGTTGCCTCTCGCGCAGTGACATAAGGCGGCTAACTGGAGCTCAGCATAGCG